TCCCTCCCTCGTTCAACAGCAGAAACTGTGTGTGATGAGCCGTACCCATCCCCCAGCAGACTGGTACAGATTTAAAAGCCTCAGTGGATCATGGGAGTATTACATCAAAAACACACACAGGCACACCAACCAGGCTGGGTCAATACAGGCCTAGTGAAAACAAAGGCACTGAACTGGATCTCACTCAGGTATTCTAATACCATTTTCTGTCTACAATAAAGATACAGACTACACCTATTGTTAGTCAGTAGACCTCATAAGACTTAGAGACTGCATGGTCACTGCTCAGGAACAAAACAAGATTGCTGACTGTCTCTAACTCCATCACACGCCTAAAGGTTTAGCTACCAGGGCGCCTCCAGGATATGATTTAACACTTTTTATTTACTAAATGAGATTGAAGACAAATTATGACGGCAAAAAAGATTTGTTTATTTCTGAGACAAAAACCTACACAATATTTTCTTTACCAAATTATAGAATATGTTTTGTATTTGTGAGGTAGGACATAAACTATGTAAAACAATGCATATTTGCTTTTCTTTGTAAAAACTGAAGTCTTATACCACGATTGATATCACAATTCATCTCACCAATCTGAATCTTCACATACTGTGTTTGTATTTTGATTTCATAATTGTTTACATTCCTAAAAGCATCTGGATTTACGTCACAATAACATTACAAACATTACTGAATCGAATATTTATTGTGTTGTTAATAATACGGGCTCATCATAATTTATACACACTGTAAATTGTGTCCAGAGTATTTATAATCTCTGGATCTCAAACAATCCTGTGGTGCTATCTGCTGTCTTCTGTTGATAGTTGTGTCTTTAATTAAGATTAAAACCAGCTCTGTTCATATAGACGTGGTTTAATTAATTCCACTGGTGAAGGAAGTGAGGCCAGATACCAGAGACAAGTCTAGATATGGTTGATAAACAATAAAGCAGATCGTACAATATTATAACGCAAAGCTAGTGATCCTGCCAACCAGCTACAGTAAGTGAAAGCACACTGAACAGCTGGACTGATAGTGGGAGAAAGATGTATAGGAGAATATGAATGCTGTCAGCAAAGGTCCATTTCATCATGTTGACAATCCGATGTAGGGTCTGTGTGAATGCAGGTTAGCTGACTAACTGTTAGTTCACGTTTCAGAAACAACTAACTTAACTCACACCTAACGTTATAATAACTCACCAACGTACTGTAACGTAACGAAAACAGGCTGATTCAGTTTTCAGTGATGGTGACTAGTGATGGCCCCAACCTAACGAGGGCCTGTCACTGTTATCTCTCACCTGAGAAATGTTATTCAAACGTGAATTAAATAAAAGCCCCAATAAGACGAGGTAGCTAGCCCTTTGGCTAACGGTACCTAGCGGTCGTGTTGACAACGGACTGCCGTTGGTTAGCGCCATGGTAACATTAGCGGGCAGTGACTTTCAAACAGAAACACAATGTAACTGAACGTTAGTATTCTTCAAACAAGACCGCAATCGTGATGTTTTGTCCGAGTTTTCCAACACAATGTAACACGTTAACGTGTTAAAATGTCATAAACATGTTGCCTCTGACATACCTTAACGCTAGCTTAGATCGGCTACACCTAGCTAGCCTGATGCTAGTTAGCATGCTAACACAACTGACACCCCGCTAGCACGGACCCACACCGGTTTCCGCCTACCTGTTGTTGGTCCTTGGGCTCTCCTGCCTTCCTTTTCCTGCTAACTGTTTTTCTCGCCATAATCTGATACACACAGTTCCCTCACCCACATGGAGGGTAAAAGTGACGCTGGACACTGGATCATATAATGGCGATATGCTATTTTGTTCCTTGGCCCTCGCTGGCAGCGTCCGACGAGGAGGAAGGGCGATCACATACGGGAGAGGTTGGTTAGTCGCTGGTTAGGATTGTCGTTGAATTACTATCTCAGGCTCCCCAATAACACTTCACTCGAGCCGTACAGCCTATTCCGGTTGGACAGAGTCGGTCGCCACTACCAGAGGGTTTACACACTCTTTTCCTCTGCCAAGTCGCGTCAGCAACGGCGAAAGCATTGAGCAGCGCGCAGCCGCACTCAAATTAAACATCAACAAAAACAAGGTCGTACGTGAACGCGGGCGTCGTGCGTGCTCGTTCACGCCAACTGCGTGAGGCCATTGATGAGCTGATTCTGATCTCTGAATTATCTTGTTTCAGTGATACATTTTCATCATTTATACAGCGCAACTATTTTATGCTACAAACCTTATTATATGATAATGTTAGTTGAATATACGCAAAAATAAATGTAATAATAGAAAGCTTTTCATTGCAGGCAATATATACATACAATCAAATTATATTATCAAAGATTTCTGCTCTCTTAAAAATTATATGATTCACAAAAATAATTTAAATATGAATACTTAAATATTATTTTCTTGGGCCGTGCTCTGTCTTTTATTTATGTCCACATCCCTGTTATTTTTTATAATTGTTAACTGTGAACATTGAGGACTTCCTGTAGCCACATGTATAATCTCAGGCTAAAGGGAAGAAATCACACACCTCAACATTATAAATTCCCCAGAGAGTGGGCATACGGGATTTTTCTGAAAATGGCTATTATTTGTATGAGCACAAAGACATGGTTGAAATGCAAATCTGAAATCACACAGGTGGCTCGGCACTATGTAGGACCTTAACTCAGATCTGTTAACTGACTTTATACATGACTTTGTAAACTTAACCCTGGTGAGCTCAGGCAGGACAGGTATGGCCTGTATTCTGATGCATAATCGCCTTTTTTTCTGCTGAGTAGGCCACACAGTTGGATGTTTCCAGTCGCCAGTGACAATACCTGGATGGACAATCATCTGCATTGTTGCTGTCTTGTCAACTGAACAGAGGGAATAAAAATGCATTTGCTGTTGAGGAGAGAAAACAAGAAGCAGGAGAGTTGTACTCCCTCGCCAGCTTCATTTCACACACACAAGCAACGATCAACAGTCTCACCACTGAAAAAATGTGCACATTTAATTGTGTGGATTTTCCAAATCATTCAAGAAATTGAACATTTTGCAAATCACATTTCAGGAGCATGGGGAAGAACACTCATCTCATCCACCTTCTATTATACCATTAAGATAGTTCAATGTTAGCGCCCCATGTTAAATTACGTGGTAACTTAGAAGTGTATCCGATATATAAACCCTTAGACACGATGCCCTAAATAATGACAACCTAGTTGCAATTCACCCCCACATAGCTAGAACATCGTAACAGGAATGAAAGGAGGAGGCCTGGAACCTGCAATGCTGTATTCACCCCGACTTGTGAGGCAAGTGGACATCAACTTGCTTTATGTAAGGTAACCACACTTGAGTTATGTAAGGCGACAATAATACCACTTGTGAGTTTGTCTGTAAAGTAAGTGTACCATTCTTCTTTATCACAGTAAATCAAGAAGGAAGGCCATTAAAACTGGGTGAAAACACTTATTATCATGTCAACCACATATCAGACAAAACGCTGGCTCAAACTTAAATAAGGACAATAGGTCTAACATGGCACCTTGTTTATGTCATGTTATTTGCCTGCACCAGGCACGGTCCTAACCAAAAATAGAGCAAAAATGGATTGAAGAACAGATTCATATTTATCATGATGTGTGTGTCACTGGGCTGTTCACTGTTTTTGGGATGATTGCAAGTTTGTTGCAAACATGCATAAGGTTTGTTTACTGCAAGCATGTGCTCAATCGTCTGGTTTGAGTGGTACTGTATATTCTGCAGACACTAGGTTGCAAATATTTTCTATTAAACAATATGTCTGTATTGGCAACAAACCGCAGTAGAAACATATTTGTCAAACCCAGAGTTGTTCAAAAAATGGATTATGGGTAAGTAAGTTTCTTTTTGCGATTGTGGAACATAGACAAAGTACTGGCAAGCAAAGAGCCAGTTCTACCAGTCCCATTTTGCTAACTTTAAGCCCTTAATCTGTTACCATGCCTCTCACAATCCCCATCACTGACACAGAGCTCAAGATTATGTAAATATCTGCCATCATAGACCTCAGTGCAACTGAGGGGACGTGCCTTTTAAACATATGTAGCATGGAACTTAGGAGGCCCACTAACACAAACTATGAAAATAAAGGATCCTGGCCTTCTTTTATACAATTACACCCAATCAACAGGTGGGAAAATTATTTTGACATGTGGTGAGTGAACCTTTTTTAACTTTCTATTTAAGTTAACACCTAAAATCAAGATGAACGCTCATTTCTTTTTTCACAAGAAAAAAACAGTGGACAAGTCAACAAACAAAAGTCATGTTTGATTAGATTGGTATGAAATGCAGTAACAGAGAATAAATGATAGAAATCACTGAAATCAAACCTTTACATCCAAATTTCCAGCAAGGCTTGAAGACGTTATAAATATAACGTTCATTATCTCCCAACAATTACTTGAGGCTCAAAGTGCCAGTCAACAGTCACACAATATGAAATGTCTCTATTGCACTGTGATGTGGCTGCAGAAAACAACCCTCACTTACATTTTTTTTTTCCAGTCTGCAAAGTCTATGACAGTTAAAAGAGAGTTAACATATCTTACATTATCATATCAAACTCTTTATCTTTAAATGAAAGTGTCAGTGTACTAAATGAAATGCATCTGTGCAGTATGTGACACATCAGTGCCAGTGGGTTTTGGGATTTCTTATCATTTCCTGCACAGAAACTTCCCCCACTCCTTTAACAGGCCATTCCAGTGCAGGTCAAAGAACATACTGGGGCAGTAGTATCTTATCTTGTGAGTTATAATGACTAAGGATCTATTATGCAGTTCCCAAACCAGAAAGCAAATAAATGGAATCTTCAAACTGACATGAAAAAGTGCCGAAAATGAACAGAAAAACAGACAAATGAGTGAAAGAATAAAGAAGAACAGAACTAGGTGCAGGGCACCAGAGCAGAGAGGGCACTTCTTGAAAGTCAGTAATCTGTCTGGCGACTGGGCCTTTGTTTTGTTTTTTTCTTCTCTTTTCTGACCTTTAAAATTATTTATTGTTTTTTTTTGTTTTTTGTTTTTAAAGAGAGCCTCCTCAAGGCCCCCAATCCCCTCCACCATTTACTAAGTCTGCACTGAGCAGTGGAAGATGGCAGCTTGGTTGTTTGGGAGTTTCAAGAGTTCAAACTAGTCTTTCTGTGATGCACTCAGGGCTCCCCATTCGGTCCTGCTGCTTTGCCTGCAGTCAGATAAACACTTCCAAGTGGAAGCAAATCAGTACAGCACTAAAACGCCACAGCCCAGTTCTTCAACCTTCTTCTTTCCAACTCAGGCATTCTTCCCATTCTTAAATAGCCTACCAGTATCAAATCCTGGAACCAAACCCCAGAATTTGTTGGAAAAGAACACCACCATGAAGTATGGTTACACTTTGACCCCCTCCACTCTAGGCACACAGTCTTTAAGAAGTGCTGAGACACAATACGTTTTAGCACAGAGAGAAATACATCGTCTCCCAGCTGTCCCTTCCACAGCCAAGGCAAGGGCAGGGCATGGTGTGACAGGGTAGGCAGAAAGAAAGGGGCTGCGTTGGGTGGTAGCGGGAGGTAAGCCCTGGGCAGGGCTTTGGTTGGCTGGTTAGCTTGGCTCAGCTAGCTGCAGCCCGAGCCATCAGGTCCTCTAGAGCCTTGTCCTGATCATTGTTGTGGACCAGCAGCACTTCTTTGATGGCATCCCGCTCAAATCCCATTTCGCCAAATCTTGACATTAGTTCAAGGAACTGCAAGGCCTGGGAGGGATGAAAAAAATAAATAAATACTATAATTACATGATCTATTAATTTAATCTACAGAGTTTGGCTAAGTTATTAAAAAGGGGGTCTAATGCACAGGTATCACTCAAACAATTACTGTTCTTAAGATGTGCATTTTCTTTTACATATTGTACAAACCTTTTCCTCTGAGCACTGGTACATCTCTAAACATTCCTCCACTGCACTTGCATCGAAGCCCCGCTCACACAGACGTCCATGGACAAACAGATAGTCCAGTACCTGAGACAAACAGTAAATAAATACGTCCATTATGTGTCTGAAAAGGCACTGCATAAAAGACAAATAAACCAAAATAAGGCTTCTAGTTTTTATTTTGAGATTAAGGACAATAAAAGATTATATTGTGGGTTGAAATGAATGCGTGTTAATGTTTGGTAGGGTTCATTGTCCTCATTATGCTGTATGTGCCTTATATCTTATGTTAGTGATTCCCAATGCTAGTTCATCATTTAAAACCAGCTGGTACAAACTAAATCTGGTTTACCAATTCAATAGGATCCGTTATATTTAGCTTTTATTTCGCACCCCACATCTTCTGCTATGGCGACCATGATCCTGTGACTATGGTTGGATAGGTCATATTGTTTAGTATTAGCTGTACAGATCACAGACACGTATCTATTGCTATAACTTTAGAGACAACATACAGTGTGATTTAACAGCTTTATTTCAATTTAAGGCTATTTATACAGATGTACAGCACTGATGCTCCATTGAACACAATTACACGAGCACACAAAAAATGAACAGTGAATAAACTAGGAATCCAAATTTCTGTGCATTGGGGTGAGAGGGAGTCGCACCTGCTCCACGTTCTGCCCTTGTCTCTGCATGGCACGTAGGACACCCTCATAAGAGTAGCCCATGCCCACAAGCGTTTCCACACACTGACGTTCACTGGGGGTCATGCTGAGCAGGGCTCCTCCACACGGCAGACCAGCAGATCCTGATCCTGGATTGGCCTAAAATGAGTAAATGTCAGGTTACTGAGATTCTACCATCACTTGTTAATCTACAGTACTATGTCTCCCACAAATTAAGAACGCTTTAACTCAGGTATATAAATCAGTGTGTAATCTCATGCTCACCAGTTTTGGTGCACCACTCTTAGTGTGGCTGGGTGGCTCAGGGGCAACAATAACTTGGGTCTTCGGTATGGTCGGTGGGCTGCCATTGGGAAGGCTTTGTCGGGGAGCAGGGAGTGGGCTGTACCTCACTGGCTCTGGGTCACCAGAATCAGAGAGCTTAGGAAAAGTGAGAGATCGGATATTACAGGGTCGATCATCTGTGTCAAACCCTGTTCTTCCAGGGTGACCAACTCTGTCCATGTCCAGCAAGGAAACCAACCCATTGGGTTTATGGGTAAAGCCAGGTTTCGCTGGGAGGCTGGTGTTGGTGCTGGGAGGTGACGGGCTGTTTCCACGTGATGCTGACCCACTCTGGGAGACCTCTGGCGGGGACACAGAAGGAGGAGGCTGAGGTTGGGGCTGGCTCTGGAGGATGTTCCTGAGCTCTTCCTTATCGTCCAAGGTTTTGAGCTCCAGCTTGTCAAAGGGGTCCTCTTCCCGCTCAAAGTCAGCTAGGTTGAGGCTGTGCAGCTGGGGAATGCTAGGCTGGGTTTTCCTGGGGCCAAGGCTCGGGGCAGGCAGTGGAGTGAGGATGGCGTTATGGCTCAGCCCCGCCAGGACGGGGTTCAATGCTGGTGGTAGAAGGTCCTGGTCCTCTGCAGCAGACCGGGCTTTCTTTCCTCCACCACCATCAATGTCCTGGGCCTTTGCCAAACACTCCCTGCTCTCTGCCTCCTGCTTGGCTGCGGCCTCCTCTGCTCTGGCCTCTGCTGCTCTGGCCTCAGCCAGTTCAACCCCCCAGCGCACACTACGTCTCTCCAGAGAAAAGTCATACTGTTGAGTAAGAGGAACAATGAGCGTGATGAGTGATAATAGAGAAAATGAGAATAATTACAAGTATAAGAGCCAAATCATATTACATATATAACACTGATACAGCAGTACAGAGGGCGTGGTCCATAATAAGGTAGGTCCGCATAATTAAGCAGTGCAGGTAAGTGCAGCAGACCATAACCAACACCTGTGCAAAATCCACATCTTTCTTGTACCAGACTAACCTGTCTGTCCCCGAGCAAAGAGCTGCAGTCTGGCAGACAGAAACCGACAGGCAGCCCCACTTTGGCTGGGCAGCGGAATTTTTCATTGACCTTGAAGGGAACGTCATCAAGGTAGCTAATGGGTCCTGTGAACAAGAAACAAAAAAGTAAGAGTACATTAGAAGACTAGAGACTGGAACTACAGCAAACATTTAACATGACTCACAACTTAAAACATCAGTGTAGTCATACACACAGTGGAACAAAAACGTATCAAAAATAGGCCCTCACCATTGTTGTATGCATCTGATCCAGACTTCCTCGCAGCCATTTAGAGACTCTGGGAGAGAAAGAGAAAGAGAGAGAGTTGATAATTATAAGCCATTGGTCAATGTATCTTAAAAAACACACTATGGTGCACAAGTGTAAAAATAGCCCAACACAGATTTCCCTGACCCCCTTCAATCTGCCTTCAGGCGTGACGTTTTTTCTGACAGAGCAGTTTCTGATAATTACAGTACGTCTTTCACTGAGCTCAGAAATTGGTTGCTACAGAACAGTTTTAATCAAAGCACGAGAGCAACAAAACACTTTTGCAAATTGTCCGTTCTATTCAAATAGAAATTCTTCATTATCCCATTGGCTTTGTATATTCTGCTGCTCTGCATCTCAAGTCACATAATCCCATTATTTGGTCATGCCGGGCAACAATGCCTGACGTTATCAACACAGAGAAGCTACTGTTTTCACATACACTGAACACAGAATTCTGATCTGTGTGCTGGTGTTCAGTAGAAAAGGTTAACAATCTGATCCACTCATCCAGCCGAAAGGGGCTGATTTGTTAGTACAAAAGAACTACTACTGCTATAAGCATTATTAAGTTAAATTTAAAGTAAACACTATATCAAATGGCTCACTGACATATGATCAGTTTGCCCGTACGGTCCACATCACTGAAAACACAAAACCTGACTCTACAGCCCTTTGCACATTTCAGCTCTTTGCTTTTGTGTATTTGTCCATTTGATTAAATCCCAATCTCAACAATCCCCCATATGATATATAGCCAGCCATCGACACAAAACAAACTCACACAAGCCAACTGTTCACTACCCACCCAGAATAAAATAGCACTGAGACTGAAAAAAAAAGAAAATGGCTGGTGAAGAAATTTGAACATCTGGCAAGCCAAAGACAGACAGATCATTTTCTCAAGAATATGTGAGCTCAAACTAGTGCTCAAAAAAGGAAAGTGGATATTGGTTTTGGATTCCCATGACTGCAGCAGGATGACTGGGTTGCCCGGTGTCTACTGGAAATGAGACAGGTTACTTACACATTAGCTATAAGCAACTGGTAATCAAAAATAAAACTGATAGTCAAATACTATAATGCTGCTCTGGTTTAGTGAGCTTATTTTGTAGTCTACCTGCACCACCAGCAGCATTATTAATGCTTTAATTCATTAAACATTAATATAGTCATATGTATAAATACCATGTTCACTAAATTACAGAAGATACCAATAGTTAGACCATAGACCTTAGAGCATTAATGTGTGTCTGAGCACCCTAAAAGCTTGGTATTGGACACAAAGATCTGTCAGTCTCTACTGGGAATATGGCTTCATAAAGTGCCTTATACTGACAATATACAAACAATCAACAGTACACAGCAGTCACCGGTAATGCACTGTAAACTGGTGATCAGAGGCACACGTCTAAAACCAATTTAAAAACACACCAAACCGACATAAAAATGCTGCTTACATGCAGGTTACTTGTACTACATTAACTTAGAAGCTGCACACGCCCATTACCCCCAGTGCTGAGTTTAGTCTTCACACTTCACTACAGACTATCTGACTGATCATGTGTGGAAATGGGCCACACATGATCAGGACGCATCTCGTGGTCAGGAGGCATTTCTTCATATCATATTTCTGAACTGATAGTAGGGTTCATTCCTATAGCTAGTAGCTACTTAGACACAATGTTATGTAACACAAGTTGGTTGTTGTTTTCCGTGGCTGTTTAAACGACTCGCAGTTAAGAGTACAGTTACGTCGAGTTAGCATTTCTACTCCCGACTGATTCAGAACTGCACCGACAGCTTGACAACGTAATTAAAATGATGTTCGCTAATGTAGAGAACTGCTACTAACTTAAAACGACATGGAAAGGCTCGCAGTAGCTGTGGTTCATTACATTTGAAGGCACCTTTACGGTAAAATAGCAACACGTCTGCAAGAAATATTGCGAGCCGTAACTGTCACGTATGGGTCGCAATAAGGCTAGCAGACGTGTTGAAGTGCAATAAATGAATTAGCTGTTAAGTTATGATAGGGTTAATTAGCAACAAGCTAAGCTATTACCATCTCTGGTTGCTTATTGCTCAACAGCGAACACGGTGTGGCGGATTAGATAAGAAGTCAGTGTAGGATAGGACCTTAGTTGGTATTAATACGGTCGAGTAAATGAATCCACTGACAATTACCACACGCAGCTGGCTGTTGTTTGAAAGGCTAAGGTACATGCTAACACCTCCGCTCCGCCAGTGGCCTGTCTGAGGCGATGTGTGGTCGGATATAAGGACCGCTGTCTCTGCTGCCACCGCCCCTCAAACTGACCGGAGCCCGCACACCACTGCGCACTCCTCTTACCTGTATCTGCTCCGTCTTGTTCCTTCAAAATCCGAACGACGTCTAGTCGAGGCGGCGCAAAAATGAAACTCTCCTCCGAATGAGTTTTATTTATGACATCTCTTTCCTGCTTCAGCGTGGGACGCCATCTTGATTTGTCAAGCTCTCTTTTGGTTCCTGTCTGACGTCACTCACCTACCTGACGTCAGAGCATCGCAACGTTCTGTCCAGCTGCGCGAGGGGCGATGCTGTTGCCATAGTGGTTGTTGTTGTTTGTAAAAGGCAATGTAGCAAAAACGGTGTTGTTTACATTGTTGTTTACAT